AATTGCCTGCATATGAATTTCTGAATTGGCGTGTCTGCATGTATGTACATACCGATTCATATATTTTTATATGTATTACCTAGGCTTAGTTCGAGCCTGAAAGTACGTTTTCTTGGATATTTACTCATTTGGTATATACATACATGTGTATAGACGCATATGTTCAATTGCTCATAGACCTATACATGTAGGTTTATTGCCATTGGAAGCTAACATTAGGGTACACATGTTTTATTTTTAGATTTAATATTTATTATTTTTTTTTGTTTTCATAACATTGTTTTTTTTTTTATTGTATAAGAGTTTGGAAGAAGCATGAATAGGAGTTTGAATTAGAGAAGGTTTTTTTTTCTTTTTGGATTATTTGGTAATAGGTTTGCATTTTATTTCCTTTTATCATATGGTTAGTTTGCGGAAAGCACTTATATATAATATAGGTGTAATTAAGTAAGACTAAGTACGAATTGTTAGTTTAGTCATATTAGAAATAAAGGAAAGGAAATAATACACTTCCAAGTGCATATAAATGAATTCGCAATTGTCATATCTTATTAGGTGAAGGACACATAAGAGCATATGGAGGGCCAGATTTGTTGTTATTTTGGTGTGGGTGTTGCGCTAGTGCAACAGAGGGGACGCGGGGTATGGACGCATGACAATGACACCGAGGGGGCATTGACTGACCGCTAATTGACATACTGACTGTCAGGTTTAGGGGGTGCTGCTAAAGAAGAGGAGTCGCAGCGGCGCCCAAGGCTTCGTGGAGTTCACGTAGAAGGGGTGGGACAACTCCACCTGACCGGACTGGCTCTCTTTGGGTTAAATATTTCTTTTAAGTTTTCCTCGTTTCTTTCACACTCTTTCTCTTTTTTTGATTTCGTTTGTTTGTAATAAAAAAGGCATGACTCAAATTTTGTTCATGTTGCTAGAAGGCAAGGCAGGTACCAAGGACCTCCCCGACCGTCGAGCTAGTTTGGGCCTGCAAGCATGCCTGCATGTCGCCTCGTCTTGCCCAACCATGTAGTGACATAACAATATGTATACATACGTACGTGCATTCAAGCATACATATATGTGACACGTAAAGTTAAAAGGGACCTACGCTCAGAAAAAAAGATTTCGAGAAAAACGACTTTGAAGTTTACCAAGTTGATTTTGATGCTTCTGAAGGTTTAATGGATTGAAACTCGTTACTCAGGGGTTTTTGGGTCGCTGATTACGAATCCGATGTTAATTTTCCAAAATTCAAAATGGCGGATCCAATATGGCGGATGACTTTTTTAAAAAGTGATCGGAATCGCTTGAAACTCGGTACTCGGGGGTTTTTGGTGTCGCTGATTACGAACCCGATGTTCGTTTTTAAAAATTCAAAATGGCGGATCCAATATGGTGGAAAAATTTAAAATTTGTTTCAAGTGAATCCGATCAATTTTAAAAAAAGCCATCCGCCATATTGGATCCGCCATTTTGAATTTTGAAAAGCTAACATCGGATTCGTAATCAGCGATCCCTAAAGCCCCCGATCAACGAGTTTCAAGCGAGTTTGATCAATTTCAGAATAGTTTGTCAGATTTGATTTTTTTTTGTACTTGTTTTTGTGAAAGTACCTAACTTTGAAGTGGAATTGTGAAAAAACTAATGCAGCTCGAAAGCTGCGGTTTATTGCATTAGAAAGAGCAGCCCGTTTACTATATGAGTCGACAAAAAAAAGAAAACCGATTTTTTCTGAACGTAGGTCCCTTTTAACTTTACGTGTCACATATACATATGTAGGTACTCGTACCCGTCATGCGTCGCTTTATTTCTTTTTCCCCTTCCCTATACTACCTATATCTTCCTTCTCACTCATGTAACGTTTTCAGTTTTAAAAATTTCACTCTCCGTTTTTGCCATACCGCCGCCTAAGAAGTTTCACTTCAAAAATTTGAAAACTTGAAACTTCAAACTTAAGTCATAAACTAAAAACATTAACATTACATTAATTACTGACCATTTTAACTAGCGATCTAAGTGAAAATAACTTTTTTATTTTCCATCCCAGTTGATCTTTTTTTATTGTATTTGCGTATGATGGTCTGTTAACCAAAATTCTAAATTCAGTTTTCACCTAAATTGTTTTGGTTTAAGTATCCTTACGTAGCAAATAGACAAACCTTAAGTAAGTTCAAACACCCACTATCACATACATACGTATATAATGATATATCGGCAATTAATTAAAATTAAATTTCATTTAATTAACTAAATTTATACTCAATTAACTGAAAGTAAAATTAATAAATAGAAATGTAATTAAATTAAGTTGCATTGAACCTAATTAAGTTAAGTTAAATGAGATAAAATATGCCAAACTACATTCTGGTAAAATTTGAATAACACAATTTTGAATAAAAAGATACGGAGTTAGAAAAAAAAACTATATATATAAATAAAATAACCTAATATATATACTAAAATAAAATACGATTTAATAATATTTTAAATAAAATAAATTTTAATTCGTAAAGATTTAAAAATCAGATAAAAGAAAAATGGCCACTATATAACTAAAGACTTAACATAACTGATAATAATAATAATAGAAACTAGTGAACCCGCATGGCGTTAAGACGCCAAAATTGATTTTAATATTTTAAACAGATGACAACACTATTCACAAACTTTAATAAATATTGCAAATGTTTCAAGTAACCTCGGTTTTTCATTTCCTCAAAATTCAAACCACCGTGCACCGCTAAAAAAGGTCGTAACTTCAAAAAATAAAACCTTAATGCACATTTAGAATGACGGTGCTGATCTGAAGACCTTCTCATTAAAGATCTGTTGACCATAACAAAAAATTATTTTTAGTTATAATTTTGGGCCAAATTCCTTATTTAATTGTTTGCTGGGTTATGGAGCTACTTCGGACGATGAAAAAGAGAAACGAAATTAAATTAACTTCCTTCCCTCCTACGCGTTTCGACGCTTTTCGTCTTCCTCAAAAAGTCTGGTTTATTAAACAATAAATAAAAACAATAAACATGAATTAC